TATGCAGGAATAGCTGTTAAACTTTTTGTGATGTGACTATATTCATGCTGTACATGATGTTGCTAAATTCATGGTTCGTAGTACATTGTTTCTTTAGTGGTCAGAAATTTCCCACCAGTGGTCTACGGGGACAAATCATAGCGCTGAAGTCAGTGGAATGATCTCCAGTCTACTTCTTGATATCCAAAGATTGATGAAAAATTACGTTATCTTCCTGAAAAATTTCATTATTAGGGTACTCAAGAATCTTAAATTGTATGCAGATGAACTATGAGAATGTTATTATGTCGAATACCTATCATCGATTGCTTCAGGCGATAGAAAGAAGTCAAGGTAGACAACATGAGCGTTCCTATGGACTTACAGAACCACTCTGAGCTTGAAAAATGAGAATGAAGAGTCCTTAGCTTTCACCAAATTACTCCGGAAGTACAGCTATTCTGTATGCAAAATTACCCTAAAAGTAAGACGAGGTTGGTAGGCTACTTGAAAGCCATATCAAATAAATCTTCTAGGTGTAAGGAGCGCTAGTTTTAGCTTAAATATTATCCACATGATACTTTGCCTTTCAGTTTATATCACAATATAAGCTTCTGCTCCATAATTATTCTTCAGGATTATAGCTTAGACGACGCATTCCCAAGCCTTTTCTTGCATCTTCCCCTTTTAAATGAATGATCTTCTCCGTCAATTCCCCTTATTTTTTCCTCTATAATACACAGCGTATAACATAATCATAATGCAATTAATTGCATATAAATATCTTAAATATCTTTAAAATGAGGCTGAGAATATGAACAAATGTTTTTAAAAAATATTTTATTAAATTATGTTTTGTTATTTTTCATATTATTATTATTCATATTACAAATGTAAACAAGTTTTCAGAAACAAAATCACAGACTCTAGTTGCATAAAAGTTCTATTTCAATTAATGTGATAGTGTGATAGCTGCGTTTGATGTATTGATACAGTGTTTTTTTTTTTTTTTTTAAGAATTGTTTAAGAATGTTTAATTCCTAAATCATTTCGTTCAAAAATATCCTATAGTAAATGATTTACTTGACTAAAGCTGCTTCTACTAAGTAAGTAGAGGAAAAAGTCAGTAATGTTGGTTCGATAACAACTTTTATTTTCGAATCTTTCTCATATGATTTTAGATTCCAAAATTTAGCATACGCATATATTTCTGAATAAGAATTTATTGATGTAAAGTATGATATAGCTTTATATCAAGAAATAATTAACTACCTATTTTATTCATATTTTTTGTGTAAATGGAATCTTGATTATGCCGATCAATTGCCGGTACCTATAAGTTCCGCTATCGACCACCTAGTCGACCCCTTGATCATCACTGACAAACTTTAAAATGTCATCGCCCTCCACAGGGTTAATACCAACTAGGCTGGTAACCCGTGATTTAGACCTTGGGCTTAAATATCTTAGATACATATTCTCAGCATTTCATACGGGCACCTTTTAAAATATGAAGATTTTGCCTCTTCATGTTAGGTATTTTAAAATAATCGGCTTCAATATAATTAATATAAGTGTATGAAACAAAATATTCTCTGTAATGGGATAGCAAGACGAATCTGGTAAATGACTGAAGGGTTGTTAGATACGATAGAATGCCTCTATTTAAAATATAGCATAGTCATAGTGTGATCAAGAACGAAGAAAATTAACTGCAAGACTGATAACTTGTATAAGTATCAATTCACAAGTCAAACAACAAAAATAAGTGTTAATTTTCAAAATTTTCACAGGACTACTTTCGATGGTTTTACCGAATCACCATCCTCAGCTGCAAAACAGCAAATGAACAAGATAGGAAATAATGAGTAGATAAGATAAGAAAGCCTGGACAAGAATAAGCAAGTGGCGCCATCTGTTGGTGAAATCAGAACTAAAACATAATTTCTTTAAAGGCCGAAGGCAAATTTGGATTGGAATTAGGATCGTTAACTAGAACAGAAAGATTTTTATGAATGTGAAATACCTCTAGAAAATCCAGTTCTCCAATGGAAGATGTTTTTTGAATAATTTTGGCAGCAGAAAAATTGAAAGTGTGATTTTCAAACCAACAATGTTGAGCAAAAGAAGATTTCTGTGTTTCCTTTTTTCTAACATATGCCTCATGTTCCTCGACGCGAAATTTTAAGGTTCTCTTAGTTTGGCCAATGTAAATTAAACCACGCTGGCAAGGAATCCTATAAATACCCCAAGAATTCCTATCCGGAATGGGATCCTTGAGTATGGAACTCGGAATTTTATTGATGGGAGAACAAACAACACGAAAGTTAAATTTTTGCAAAATATGTGCAACTTTATAGCTAATTGATGGAAAGAAGGGAATGACAACAGAATTTTTATAATATCCTAAAACAAGAGTGTGCCTTTTAGTGTGTTGAGATGAGAATTTTTTAACTGCTTGATTAATAATGTTGGGTGAAAAGCCCTGTCTATAGCTATTGCTTTTAAATAATTTAGTTCTTCATCAAAGGCTAGTTTGGAGGAGCAAACTTGAAGAGCACGGAAAACATAGGAATAAAATGAAGCTAACTTTAACTCAAGTTTAGTCGGATGACATGATTTAAAGTGTGGTGGAAGGCAAACCGATGAAGGTTTACGGTAAACCGTAGTACTGAAGTTGGATGTGTTACGTGTGACCAGAATGTCGAGAAACGGAAGAGAATTGCAAGTCTCAAGTTCAAAAGTGAACTGAATAGCAGGATCAATAGAATTCATTGTTGAAAGAACTTTATTTAAATCATCTTTATTACCTTCAAACAGGGTAAATGTATCGTCTACGTAGCGGAATTATGCCGGGAAGTTTAAAGTTTCAAACAATTTTGATTTATAATAATGCATGTAGATATCAGCCAGGATGGGACTGAGGGGGCTTCCCATGGCTAATCCCTCAGTTTGCTTGTAATATTTATTTTGGAAAACAAAGTGTGTTTGTTGCAAACAAAGTTGAGTGAGAGAAATTAGTTCATCAATTTCGATACAAGAGAAATGAAATTCGCGAAGTCTTGTTTCTAGACATCTTAATGCACCCTCCACTAAAACATTGGTGAATAATGATTTTACATCAAAAGAAACCATGAGTAAATTTCCAGGAGAAATGTTTCTAACCTTTTTTACAAACTCTATTGGATTTTTATGGTGTAAATGTTATTGTCTAATAGAGTTGAAAATCTAGAAACTAAATATTTAGCTAAGGGATACGAGGCAGTACCTAAATTTGATACAATAGGGCGAAAAGGAATACCACTTTTATGAATTTTGGGAAGAGCATATAATCTGGCACAATTCGCAACAGATGGGATAAGGGAATGTTTTAAGTTGCTTGAAATGATTTGTGAAGATTTGATCGCAGTTTTTATTTTTGACAAGTCCGAAGGTGAAGGATCTTTAGGGATCGGATTATATGGTCCTTCGTTTAAGAGTTTAAAAAAGGTTAAAAACATTTCTTCTGGAAATTTACTCATGGTTTCTTTTGATGTAAAATCATTATTCACCAATGTTCCAGTGGAGGGTGCATTAAGATGTCTAGAAACAAGACTTCGCGAATTTCATTTCTCTTGTATCGAAATTGATGAACTAATTTCTCTCACTCAACTTTGTTTGAAACAAACACACTTTGTTTTCCAAAACAAATATTACAAGCAAACTGAGGGATTAGCCATGGGAAGCCCCCTCAGTCCCATCCTGGCTGATATCTACATGCATTATTATGAATCAAAATTGTTTGAAACTTTAAACTTCCCGGCATAATTCCGCTACGTAGACGATACATTTACCCTGTTTGAAGGTAAATAAAGATGATTTAAAAAAAGTTCTTTCAACAATGAATTCTATTGATCCTGCTATTCAGTTCACTTTTGAACTTGGGACTTGCAATTCCTCTTCCGTTTCTCGACATTCTGGTCCACACGTGACACATCCAACTTCAGTACTACGGTTTTACCGTAAACCTTCATCGTAAACCGTAAACCTTCCGCCACACTTTAAATCATGTCATCCGACTAACTTGAGTTAAAGTTAGCTTCATTTATTCCTATGTTTTCCGTGCTCTTCAAGTTTGCTCCCTCCAAAACTAGCCCTTGATGAAGAACTAATTTAAAAGCCAATAGCTATAGACAGGGCTTTTCACCCAACATTATTAATCAAGCAGTTAAAAATTCTCATCTCAACACACTAAAAGGCACACTCTTGTTTTAGGATATTAAAAAATTCTATTGTCATTCCCTCTTTCCATCAATTAGCTATAAAGTTGCACATATTTTGCAAAAATTTAACTTTCGAGTGTTTGTTCTCCCATCAATAAAATTCCGAGTTCCATACTCAAGGATCCCATTCCGGATAGGAATTCTTGGGGTATTTATAGGATTCCTTGCCAGCGTGGTTTAATTTACATTGGCCAAACTAAAGGAGCCTTAAAATTTCGCGTCGAGGAACTGAGGCATATGTTTGAAAAAAGGAAACACAGAAATCTTCTTTTGCTCAACATTGTTGGTTTGAAAATCACACTTTCAATTTTTTCTGCTGCCAAAATTATTCAAAAACATCTTCCATTGGAGAACTGGATTTTCTAGAGGGTTTCACATTCATAAAAATCTTCTGGTTCTAGTTAACGATCCTAATTCCAATCCAAATTTGCCTTCGGCCTTTAAAGAAATTATGTTTTAGTTCTGATTTCACCAACAGATGGCGCCACTTGCTTATTCTTGTCCAGGCTTTCTTATCTTATCTACTCATTATTTCCTATCTTGTTCATTTGCTGTTTTGCAGCTGAGGATGGTGATTCGGTAAAACCATCGAAAGTAGTCCTGTGAAAATTTTGAAAATTAACGCTGATTTTTGTTGTTTGACTTGTGAATTGGTACTTATTCGGCGTGTGTTTGTGTCTTAATTGTATAAGTATGTTGAGAATTGTTATACATTTACTTCATTTAGTACTTGACCATGATTTTTTTCCCCTTCAATAGAACATCAATACGATTTCCAGTCCAGACTTTCAAGGGTGATAGTCTTACAGATGCTTGCCTTGGTTTCTGGATTGCATTAATACACAACAGTGAAATTTTATCATCAAACTGCATTAGAGCAAGGCCTAACTGGATGTTCCAAGCCCAGTCTCTTATAGGAAATGTCGCCTTGATAGATCTAATGATACCTGGCACCCACAATGCTGGATGTTATGCTGATTTTAATCCCAGAGAGGATACATTAGTCAACAGATATTTGCTTACTCAAGAAGAAACTATTTGGAATCAGTTAGTTTATGGAATTAGATACTTAGATTTGAGAGTAGCATACTACAGATCAAAAAGTTCTCCTGAACGTTTCTGGATAACTCACAGCAATTTCCGAACAGAGGTACCAGTGAGGGAAGTCATTAACCAAGTGAAACAATTTTTAAACGCCACCAACGAAATTGTTATAATGGACTTTCATAGATTTGTAACAGGTTTCCAAGGGTCACGAGCGACTGCCAGGCACAGAGAACTAGTCCAGATGCTCGAAAACGAATTAGGAGATTACATGATTCCAATACATTTTACTTCTTGGGCAACATTAAATCAGTTGTGGACTGAAGACAAGAGACTTTATGTAGGTTATGCAGATGAAACCTCAAGAAAACAGAGCTTCCTCCTATTTCCCGCCGTTAGACATCTTTGGGGAGACGTAGATACAGTAAACGGTCTTAAAGCATATTTAAACGAAACAGTTTGTTTTCAGACAGCAAGGAGGTTAACATCCGCAATGGCGCAGCTTACCCCTACTACAGCTGGCGCTCTTTTCGATATTTACGGTGGTCTTCGGAGCATGGCCAATGATGTCAATCATCATGTTACGAGATGGTTTCGAGATTCATGGAATCATTGTGCAAATATCGTCTCAACCGATTTCTTCCTTGGGAATAATATGATAGAAGTGGCAATTGAAACGAATAAAAATAGAATTTCATCCGTAAACTAAGTATTTTTAAAGAACTGAATATATTTAAGCACATATTTCATGATTAAGATCATTGTAAAAATTTGAAGTTTTTACCATCAAAGTTGTTTTTACCAATGTTATTAAAATATTTATAAATAAGTCTGTCTTATTTGTGCTTTCATACATTCATTTACTGAGTTTTAGAACTGTACACATATATTCACCCTGAAAATAAAACACTTTCATTTGTCTGAACCATTATTAAGTATACGAATTAATTTGTGGCATTAGAAATTAATCAACTGTAAACTTTATTTTAATTCAAATTTTAACTGAAGTTCCGCTGTTTCAACTCTTTTGTATGTGAAAACACCACTGCGTAACTGTGCTGATTCTATAACCTCACAAAATAGTATTGAGCGCAGTGTTAAGACGAAGGAATTTTTTTGTGGGGGAGAAGGTAAAGATGTGTCGTTGAAAAATCGCATGATAGCAGTGGAATAAGGCTGCATGATAACGTTCTGTTGAATACGGCGAAAGGAACTTAAAGTTGAGAATTTTTCACTGAACTACTTATTTGTCAGATCTAGCCCGTTAAGATTATCAATTTCCTTCACTTAATGTTTTGCGGTCATTCCGCCCTTGGCGAACATACCCGAAAAATATGGAAAAAAAAAAAAAAAAAAATTACAGACTTTACTAGCTCAAATGCTACCACCTCCGTCCCTCCCACAAAGAGGCGATTTTCAAGTTGCCAGGTAGCGAGTAAATGTGTAGAAAGTGAGGATTATTTTTGAGATTAGAATATATTTTGATTTTGGGAAACAAATTTACGAAAAAACGTCCATGAATTAATTTGTGCACTTGATGGTCCATGTGCTAAAATCTATGAAAAACATATATTGCGTCATGAAAATTGAATAAGTCACTCCTTTAATTTCAGATTTAAGATAGAAATTTTCTGATATTATAATTTAGGAGTAATATCTCATTTTTAAGACGGTGTTGTTTGAATAAAAAATAACGATAAACCTTGTACAACAGAAAGTTCAAATTTTACTTTGTGCATTGATACAATTGCATCACATTGATTATTTTAAACACGGTTGAAAAATAAAATGTAATGACATTATGCTTTTTTATTACATATGAACTGAGTGTATAGTAAATACATTAATGGCTTATACAGCAGTTGCTCTTACAAGAATAATAATATTTTTAAAAAAAGGTTATATTTAAAACATGAATATGTAATAACCAAAAATTATCTTTTCAGAATTCTCACTTACTATGGCTTTATTTTATTGCCAGGAAATCTTAAGATAACTTAAGTGCACAAAAATTGCGTAAAAACATGTGTATATATTTATATAAATTAAATAGTTAAATATCAGAAATCAACTTTTTGTTGCATTAAAACGTTTAATGAAAACTGATAACGAAAAACTCTTAACTGAGAAATGGTTGAAATCGCAAACTGTGAAACCTGAATGCATGAATAAAAGTGTCCGTATGATAGTAATTTTCCGTTTGATTTGAATTTATTTCAAGCGAAGAGATTTATTTTTTATAACTCACGATAAACTTTTGATGCCTCTTCAGTATTCTCTAATTCAATAAAACTTTGAGTTTAGGCTTATGTTATAATCACGGTATGCATTTGTACATAATGTCCTCGATTTACGCGGCCATACTTCAAGAAGTTTTAGTATGGGAGCTAATAATGTTCAACAAGTTATAGAATTTGCTTATTAATAACAGGCATGATGCAAAACAAAGCTACCTGAAACCCATACAAAAAAAGATACCGGCTGGGTACGAAGCATTTACAAGTCCCCCCCCCCAAAAAAAAGGACAAGTCAAGTCATACACAAAAGCATGACTTCCGGCTCCCAGAAGGGTTACTGTTGCTAAAGAGCAACATGTAGAATCATATCCATAGTGCGCCGTGGAATAACTGTCGTAAGAAGTAGACATCGAAGGCTCTGGCTGCGACCTTCATAGTATTTTACTATTGACACATAAATCAAGCTGATATAAACTTTATTTATGGACGAGAGAATGGCAATTATAAGGAAACACGATGCTGTATCATGGAATTCTTCTAAACGAAGAAGCTCTTGCTAATGTTATATTTCCATCTCTACTTCCAGTTCCTTTTAGTCACAAGATCAGATCGTGATGTGAAAGCCATTGTTAAAGGCAAAATTTGTCAATACAGACTCAGATTATTCCGAAAGAAATAATCTGATGAAGGACAATCAGAGTCCCTACCATACCAGAACCTCTGAATGGTGCAACTGAAGACAAGAAGAAGAATGCTTTTCACTTTGCCATTGTCTAGAACACAACTACTAGTTGCAACTAGTTGCAACGCTCTGCTTAATACCGCAATATCAGGGGTATAATTTGTGCCTTTCAGTTTGACACATTCTGAACGCTCAGTTGTTAAACAACTTCTTTGTGGACTCAAAATATTTTTCATGTGAGAAAAGATTTGTTAACATAGATATGTAGAACCAAAAGTGGAAAGCAGAGCACATGCACTTTTTTTCGAACAATTTAATCTCTTTGGCAATGACATCCAGCAATTTAAAACAGCTGTCGATTTGTCGTTAGAGTTAACTTCCAAATTTTTTCGTAATTCGGTAAATTTTGCTTTCCATAATTCTGAAGATGTTAGCTCAATAGGTTCCATTTCAAAATTATCAACTTCTATCCATTCAAAAATTGACAAATCGGATGGAATTATTAATAGGTCTGTTAAATCTGGTTTGATTAGGAAAGAAAATATAGGCATACAAGCTTCAAAGTCTTTGCATCTTTTGAAAAATTTCTGCTTAAGTGCTTCAACGTAGGTTTGAAGTTATCTTTGTCTATGGTCGACGTATTTGAAAGCGCTTTAATATTTGGAAGGTATTTGTAGGTACTAGTATTAATATCAAGGGAAAATATATTTAATTTTGTTGCAAAGCCTTTCCAATATTCAAAAAGCTTAAGCCCTGTTTGGCCCTTTCCTTGTATCATTAGCTCCCTGAGATTTTTAGTTATATCAGTAAGAAACATCAATTTACATAACCATTCTTATCATTCAATCCGGAAAAATTCTGTTCCTTCTCATTAAAAAACTTTAATGTGTTCCATGCGTAACGCAAATTTATTCAAGACATTAGCTTGACTAAGTCAACGGACATGGCTATATAAGGGGAGATCCATATATTCGCTTTCCATTTCTTCTAAAAGAGATTTAAATTGCCTGTGTACCAATGAAGAATGAAAGGCTATGAAATTAGCTATTTTAACAAACGAAATTTTGGCAACTAAACTTTCGAGATGCATTATGCAATGGAATTCAGTACTTTATTTCCAATATGATTTTCAAGAAAAGTTTGTCAAATCCTCTTCCCTTGCCCACCATTGCAACAGCGTCATCGGTAGTTACAAAAGATATTGTTTTATATTAATGCTTTTACTTTTAAAATAATTTATAAATGAAGCAAGAACATTCTGTCCCTTATTTGTTCCAGATAGAGGACTCGAAGCTGTATAGCTGTGTGCTTCATAAACACACGATCTTTATCACAATATCATACACAACAGTTCTTGTAATCCAGAATTCTGTTTTGCTGTTCGCTTTCTGCCATTTAAATTATTCGTCTTTCAATAGTTCGCGCTGAGGCCGGTATTTCTTGAATTCGGGATAATGGTAAATTGTTGAACAATATTTCAACACTTTAAAAAAAATGTGTCCTTTATGTATGTGAAAGATTTTCCTTTAGCATGAAATTAGGAAACTATATTCAGTCGCTTTAGGTTTGGTTCCAATTGTTTGACACAAAAATACAATTTGTTTCTTATATCCAGTAACAGATCTTTCTATAACTTCACGTTTCTCATCCGAATTCTGAAAAATAAATTGATGTTTGAAATGTTGAAAATGTCTTTGTGCACTTAATGTGCAACATACGACGTTTTCGCGTACACGATCCTTCTGTTATACGAATCCATATTCATTCGTCCAAGAGTCTTGAAAACCACGAACCATAAAGCTTTCTTTTTTTTAGTGCCCATTCGATTTATGTAGGTATGAGTTGTCACAATATTTTGATATAAAGTATAAGTTTTCACAATAAAACTAAGAACATGACGTTAACAGTAACGCACGTTCGTGCATCAAACTAAATTCTACTTTCGACTGAACTCATACTCGTGTATCGGTGGGACGAGCCGAACGGAAGGAGAGAAAATGCATGAGGCGTGAGGTGGGAAAGCGTAGAGAGGAGACAAAGGGCGATTTATATTTATCTAATAACTTTGTAGAGTGCCACTGAGAATTGTACTGCATGCCACAGGTTGCCGACACCTGGTCTAAAGCAACATCAAGCACATTTCCACCCGAATATGTGGCATAGCATAATCAGGAATATCCTTATCAAACGTTTCTTCTTACCATCTGTGCTCCACATCAAGTTTATGTTTTTTGTACAAAAATAATTGGTGTTAGTGGTAACCGTGCTCTTATCCAAAGGTCAACGCATGTATTACATGCATGATGGAGCCCTTGCCATTTCGCACCCAATGTTCTCAGTCGCAAATACGGCAGCAAACGAACTGGACGAGGATTCAACTCATGATGTACTCGATTACCCGATATGAGTCTGCTGGAATTTTTTTCTGGTATGATTCCTTTGGAGGATTATGAAGGCTCTTTTACTATGCCAAATGAACTGAGTAATAGCCGACTGAAAGAACATACAAGGTATGACACCAAAAAAAAGGGACTGGTCCAATAGATCATTGTACTTACAGAATCAGTTCTCCGTGATATTATTACAGTGCAGTAGCGAGCATAACTGGCGCCCGGGGCAAAATACATTTTTGGCGCCCCCCCTCGAAAAAAACACAGTGATATGATTAAAATCTTGTTTGGAGACCATTTGGCGCCCCCCTGCGAGCGGCGCCCGGGCCATCATATACCCCCTTGCCTCCCACAATCACTGAATTATTACCTTCAAAGTAGTTCCCTTCAGCGTTCATACATTTCTGCATTCGGTGCTGCCATTGCTGGTAACAGTTCTGGAACTAGGTTTTTGGAAGACCGTTCAGGAGATTCTCCATTTTTGCCTGAACCTTTTTAGCTGAGATAAAATGGGTTCCCT